CGTTTGTCCGATCCTGTTGGCTACCGCGACAACAACAAGATAGTGCGTTTAAATCGAGTTAATAGTGTAAAACTAAACTCTAGCCAGCCACAGACTTATCAGGCTATGTCTCATTTGGTTAACTGAATGATGTAATTAGTGGAGAGTTGGTGATGGACAAGGTAAGAAAATGAGATGTTTATTGGTTGAAAATTTTGGAATAAGCCTCCTGCCACTTGTTCTGGTGAGGGAAACAGTTTGATCTGAGCACTTTGCTTCAAGACGTCCAAAAAGTTCTTCGGCATACATTCAAAAGAGGATCCAGTCTTTGGTACTCCATTTACTTTGGACGTCAACCATCACCAGAGCAGTGGAAGCAGAATTTGGCGGTTTTTCAAACCTGACGTACTACTATGACCTAGAGAATCATTTCTGGCTTGACACCCGGATTTCAAGATGGCCACTTCAACAACGTACTACCATTTAACAGCACTTTCTGAGCTCTGAGCTCCATCCCAATAAGTTGTTCATCCGAAGTGTGATCTCCTACTGTCTAATTTTGGTTATCAGAGGCAACGACAAATTATCCCACGTATTGCTGTGCGCCTAGAGATTCTGAGTGTTATCAACCTTCCCCCATCCCACTGAATGCCTGTTCTTTTTAGCGGAAACTGATTCCCTCTACACAGACGCCATGATAGTCAGTGTGTCTAAGCGCTTGCGCTACTAAGTTTTATCGCTTAGGAGTGAGAAAGTTTACTAATTAGCTCAGATGGTATGAGTTTTCTCGCAAACAAGCAGTATTAGGTCGCTAGCCAAGACCAATACACTAATTCATTTTCTTCCAATTTGGAAACCCTGATACTTAAACCAATCTCAGTATTTGGCAAATACACTCGTTTACAATCAGTTTGGTCTTCACGGAAGACCCAACAGTGTCTCTCGTTTATGATATTCTTCAACTGAATGGAATGCACAAAGGCCACCTGATGTTTCAGTTGGTACGACATTCGAGATGTCACAGTATACTTGTTCTAGTAAACACGCCAAAACCACATAATGTTCTCAGCTCTGTCTGATATTTCTTTTAATTCAAGCGACGATGGACTATAGGGCTGTTTGTCTAGCTACGAACTAGTTGCAAAACTTTGAATTTGTTTCTTTAGAATTGCCATCCATTCCCACCTAGAGATGATGTCTGGAAGTGTTTCCCGATCGTCTGAGTTTAGCTTTCAATGCAGACCGAATTGTATCGGGCGGGTTTGCTTGTTCTTGAAACCGCCATTTTTAAGCCTATGATTAGCGACGTTAGCGATATTTCAGCCTTGTGTGACCGTAGAAACAACAGAGTTGAGAGGATGTCACCTCAACTTCATTAATGTTACGTCCGCTTAGCTGTTGGATTTAGTGATGTAGCGATTTCACAGGAGTGGCTTGTTTGACTGAGGCGCTTCAAAATTCGTGCTACTGTAGGCTTTAGGTTATCATGTGCTTGTACACCCAAAGGAGTCAAAATTTTCACAAAAGATTCCATTATGATGTTTTTTTAAAGTGAGAACGGATTGTAAATTACCCTCTTAGGTCTTCATAGATCTGTTTCTTCTCATTACCTTGTCCCGAGCTGTATGTGTAGCCCAAGTTCATACCACGTAAACACATCTTTGCAGGGCATGTGACATTGTAAGCTGCTTTAGTTTGCACAAAATTCCATTCATACATCAAATGATATCCAGATTGTTTGTACTAACAGATTTCAGGCGTTTTGTACTGGATAAAACCAAAACTAACGCAGAAATAAATACACACAGGTTTTCGCCCTTTAGAATAGCATTTCCAAAGTATCAGGAAGGTCAGATTCCTGAAAGCAACCGCTGAATGCCCGAAATCTACTGAAACCCTCAGCTCCGCTAGATGTTGACCATAAAGACGTTGCCACTCAATACGCAGAGCTTCACAACCCTGTATCAAACCCATGCAGCGATAGTTAGTGCGCCGCAGCCTCGTACCAAGGCCAGACCGCGTACGTCAATATTGGACCAAGTTTCGATAGTGTCCCTCTAATAAATAGGTTGAGACCGTTGTACTTTTGGACAAGTACGCAGTCACTCTCTCGCACTCGCTTGTTCGGAATATAACTGTTGTGTTCCCTTCTGTGAGTCTTTTGTTCCGCCATTGGGCACTGGAACGGTCAGCAGTAGATAACGCAGATTGGCGAATCAGCAGATATAACACCAAGACAAACTAACAAAGCTTTTCGTCGAATCTGTGGTAGACTTAGGTATTGTACGTAAACGTAATTTCTCGTCAGGGACACAATTATATCAGAAATGAGGACTGTTACTCAAACTTCAATGGAATTTCGCTCTGGATGAGTGGAAAGAACGGTCCCCTTGCTTGTGTGGCTGTAATACACTAGTAGGTGGGTGTGCCCTTTAGCTCTATAGGTTGACATATCTAACTTTGTCAGAAGCACCAGAAACTTCAGATGGTAGTAGCTTATGAGAGGCTTTTATATTCTTCCACAATGTATCTAGGGCTTTGTCTGCTTTAATCACTAACATTCTTTCCGGTTGGTTAGCTAATCAGTTGCGAAGAATTCTCGAGTGGTTCAACTTTAACGAAAGATGTCAACATTATACCACAGTGTTTGGCTATGTGCTACGTACCTGACAGTAATTCGACGTTTTGTATGCACAAGACACTTTACGTTCCATGTTAGTTTATGAGTTATTGTTGTGCTTACACATGGAATGAAACCGCCACTGAAACCCATCATGATTTGCCATATAGCTCCGATTCTACATAGAATTGTCACATGTTGACCTGATCAGGGGATTTTCTCAGAACCCTGGCCTTTGTGCGAGAATGTGGATGTTGAGGTTCAAGTGGACTGTTCAAGTGGACAGTTTTTTAAAGTGTGGTGCGATTGCACGGTTACGGAATTTAAGCCACTGCAATAACGTCACCTGTGTAGTACACCTTATTCAATCAGCTCAGGACGATAGACAGGCAAATACAAAAGACTTACATACCCTTTTTTTGGTTTTGGCAGTCTTCCCGGTAACAAACCAAAATAGTGGAGCTATACATCTTCGCACCCGCTTTTGGTAAGACTCACAAGCAATATGATCCTTGTGTTTCCGAGCGTCCAGTATGGTGTGAATCTGTTGTCACTACTGAGACAGCGCGCACTGAGCTGGTTCAAAATTCATGAAAAAAGAGTGTTCCCAGTAGTTTATCCGACGCCTTGATCGACCTTGCGATAAGCTGGCTGTATCGGCCGGTTGATCTAACCAGTGGAATAGAGGTGAAAATCCGTTCTCTCCACTACGTTGTCCGGTATCAAAATACCGGTACGACTCAGGAATCACACTGCCACAGAGCCCTAACAAGGGCGAAAAATTCCTTAGTTTGGGCTTCAAACATCACCAGAGCCAAACGAAGATGATCGTGTTAGTGGCAAGCTGGTGACAGTTGCGCTTTCGTAACACCACTCATTTGTCTTCATTTCAAGCCTTTTCTTTATCAGCACTTGATTACGAAAAATAGTCTAGTCGCAAGTGTAAATGACTAATTGATAATCCCGATGGAATCATGAAACGGTTCCTGAAATGCAGTTTTACCTTTGTGGGGTTGATGAATACCTCGTGAATTTTATGACATCGTTCATAAGAACGAATTAAATGTTTATAGCGTAGTCCCGTCCTACATTCTGTGTTTGTTTTGAGAAAACCTATTAATAGTCGAGGATGAGTGTGAATTTAATATCCTACCACCATATTTGGCAGGCCAAATATTGCAGTTTATCGCAAGAAATTGGAGTTAAATGTGTTTACATTGATAAAGCTAGTTTTTGGCAATGGAAAAATTCAAATTTAGGGCTCATCCAAGAGTACTTGAATCGTATTTGTTCTGCAAATGAAGAAAAATGTGGCCTAGTGGGGGATCGTGAGATCTCATCCCCTTCCGTCATTATTTATTCTAGATTTGGTGGAGGAATTTCCCAGTGTCCAGGTGTTTTCTAGCGCTTTTCTAGTATGCTGTCGAGGCAGCCATGACTGAACAATAAGGGCTTGGGGCGAAGTTTTTGGATTCGAAGAAATTATTGGAGCTATGTTGTGTGTCATACAAGTGGACCAAATCATTTGACTGCTCATCATCATAAACAACAGATTCACTTGAGTTCCCTGTGAAGAACAAATTGATTCGCAAATGAGTGTGTTTGTCGCAAAATATCATATTCCTTAACATCTGAGGGATTCAGTCATCTCTTCCCCAAATGTGTGAACTAAGGCAGCCTTATTCGGTAGGATGTATTCAACTAAACTTTCGTTTGATTGACTGGTGCGCGAATGTTCAATATTGTGTCTGGCGTTATCATTCATGCGTTTATTCAGTTACAATATGCATGTGCTCGTTGCTTTAAGTCTACCTTCCGGTTTAAAGGTCGGAAAAAAAGTTTCTTCCTATCCATCTTGCTGAGGAGATGAGTGAGGTGGTAGCCTACGAATAGTTGTTTTGGGCGCCGAATGCTAGAAGTCGGAAAGTTGGGATGAGCTGAAATAGATAGGTCTCTAATGGAAACATAGAAGTGGGCGCACATGTTCTCATCACAAATACCGTGAGTTATTTATGTCACTTAAACAAATGAAACAGTTCTTAGCTCAGAGGCTCTGGCGCTCCGTTTCATTGACATTCAAAGCTCACATCTTTCCTGCTCTCATCATTAGCGATTGCAACGCTACACCTAAAATAATTCCGGGATTAATAATGTCTAATTTCTCGGGAAAAACGAAACTTTTGTCTCTTATCTTATGCTTTGGTAATTTATGTATTTGTAAATAAAGATTATTGTAAAGCTGGAAGATTGCAGTCTGATTGTCAACAGAAGTAGTTTGCGTGTTTTCTGGTTATGTACTTCGCACTGATCATCGATCCACTTTAAACAGTCTAATCTCTACTGTTTTCAGCTATCGACTGTTGGATGTGCAACAAGAATGCTGAAGCAGTTATTTTAGGAAATGGGAACATCGATCGTGGGACTACTGCTTCAAATCCTTCCTACACTTCAGCTGCAAAATCAACTCAGCACCAAACCGAACCGGCCAGTCATCACAGCCAATCCGACAAATCAGTTTTCAATTGATGGCGTTCTGGAATTCAGTTGTCTGGCTGAAGGCAATCCGAAGCCCTTCGTCCAATGGCATAATGCAACCACTGGTCAGCTGATCGCAGATCGAATTCCATCGACAGACTCACTCTCTGGTATCCACGTCAACCCGTACCACGGGAGGCTCATGGTCTCTAATCCAACTCGTGGACAACTCTACTCTTTCTATTGTAATGCAACAAACGAATATGGCTGGTCACAAAGCAGTCCTCCGGTCTTTGGTGCACTAGCCTACTTAGATGACAGATTTATTCAACAGCCTAAAAATGAAACTGTTCACGTTGGACAGAACGTCAGTCTTCCTTGTTTGGCACCTGCAGGGCTTCCTAAACCGATCATCCGTTGGCTAAAAGACGATGTACTTGTGGGTGAACAGAGTACAGGGCACATGTCTATAGTTAAACTGAATGAGTCAACTTCATCCCGGTTATCAAAGATGTTGGTACTCGATAATGGAACCCTGTGGATCAACTCGGTTACATTTGAGGAAACTGGAAACTATCGTTGCACAGCTACAAATCTAATTGGATCGAGGAGTTCCCGGCCAGCATTTTTGTCTGTTATTTCAACCACAACATTCCTCGAAACCCCGAAGCACTTACGGGTCAGATTGGGTGAAGATGCCAAGTTTTTCTGTGAAGCGGATGATCCCCAAACAGTTTCCTGGAGGCGTGGTAAGCAAGATGCTCCGTTAGATTTCTCCAGGACAGTGATAACAAGATCCTATATTTGGATCAAATCTGTGAAACCCTCGGACTCTGGAATGTACATTTGTGGTGTGCCTGGTTCAGTTGAACACAACGCTACGCTGGTCGTAGACACTCCTCCACGATTCCTCCGACCGCCCAGCACTATTCGGACCAACGTTGGTGAAACTGTTCAGTTTGTTTGTTTATCAACCGGTCATCCTCAGCCATCGGTTTATTGGGAGCTGCCTGATATGACCCCGGTGTTCCCCTCTGACCCAACGGCAGAAAGTAGAAGTTCGAGATTTTTCGTATACACTGATGGTCGGCTGGAAGTTAGGCACGTCAAATCGGGTGATGCCGGAAGATATCAGTGTACAGCACATTCTTCAATCGACACTATTCATGCAAGCGCATCACTTGTTGTCAATGAAGTCACTAGCGAACCTCCGCGAATGGCGAATCCCGTAACGTCTACCCGAACTCTCCATTTAGCACCCAAGCTTGGCAGTACAGCACCAATTATAGGATTGCCACCAGCCAACCAGACAATCAGTGTAGGGGACAAGGTCACCTTTGTGTGTGAATTGTTGGATAGCTCAGCTGACCGAAATTCCTGTAGTGATGTGAAGGTCAACTGGATGCGTCGGATACATCCAACGGAAGAGAGCAGGCTACTACCCGCCTATGGTTTGAATGACACACGATATCGCATCCTGCATTCTGAATTACAAATTTTGGACGTACACCCCAGTGACTCTGGGATTTACATCTGTAGCGTGAGCTGTAAGGTTGAATGGTTTGACGGAATCGAACGTAGGCGAATTCACGTCGAGTCGAGCTGGAGCGCGACATTATATGTCACGTGGAAAAGAGATACCCCCAAACTTGCTAGCATACTGCAACCGCCCAAAAATCTTCGTCTAGTCAACATGACAGCAACCAGTGTGACAATCAGCTGGGATCCCCCGTCTCTTGCCGCAATATGGCAACAAAAATCTAACGAAGATGTGGCTAATCCTGTAAAGAATTCAGTCGCCTATTGGGTAGAATATTATCGTTCGGACAGACCAGCTGACGGTTGGCTAGTTGTCGAACGAGACTGGCCGACAAATAATGTTCAGCTACGTGGCCTTGAGCAAGGCATCGAATACTACTTTTTGGTTCGATCTCGATGGATGTATGGGCGAATCGGGTGGGCTAGTCGACCACTCGGTCCCGTGACTACCATGGGAAGTTTTGTTACCGAAAGTCAAGCAACTAGCAGAGGGGAACCTGTTCAAATGTACCACAACACACCACCGAGTATTGAATTACATGATGTTCAGATGCGCATATTCTCAAAGTCCACAGCAAAAGTTAGCTGGAGACTGTCGCCGTTTTCGTTCCTAGTGAATGCGATAAAATTGTTCAAACTGTCATACAGGATAACTCCACTTGGTCACTGCGTTGGTATTTTCAGTAAGAAATCAAAAAGTCGCGCTTATCTATCCGGAGTTTCTTCGTCTAGGGACTACTGTAGCTTTGCACGGGATTCAAATAAAGAAATACTTCTTCAGAGTCAGCTGAATCTGATGGAGGAGCTTCGTAAATCGACCCAGCTGAATGCCTCCACATTCAGCGTTCTTGTTCCCTGGTTGAAACCTAGTCACCCCGAAGATCTTGATCCGCCAGAAAATCCTCCGGAGCGCCTTGTTGGTTGGCTGCATAATCTGAACCCGTTCACCTGCTACTCCATCACCATACATCCGATTCCCACAGATCCTTCGCTATCGTCCATTTTTCGTCAAACTCTCAGTGAGCCACACTTTCTTCTCACACCTGAAGGTGTTCCAACGGCTGCACCAAGCAATATTTCCGTCCATTGGATTGACGATCGACATGTTAAGTTGGCTTGGAAATCTCCAATCGTCACGCATTGGAATGGACCGTTAAGCGGTTATCTGATTTATATCTTTGAAGAAAATTCACGAGAACGGAAGACCATTAACGTGACATATCTCTTGTCGGAAACTCTAATTGAGTTACATCATATGTCTGCCATCTATCTGTTCCAAGTGGCCTGTATGACTTGCGCTGGGGTGGGCATTCCCAGTGAACCAATTCGTTTAGTACCGAGACAAAACAAGGATTCATCGATCTATGCGACCGAAACGGAACCAAAAAATGTGGAACTGCTTAACAAGCCCTGGTTTGTTGGAACGCTGATCGGTAGTGTGATTGCATGGTGTGCTCTCATCACGCTGGCCTCATCCTGTTGCTTCCGGCTTCATCATAGACGCAGAAAGCCACATAAGCGTATTGGGCTACAGATTTCGGCTGCCTTGAATGACCAGGAGGGTAATCACGATGCTCTACTCTATATGAAAGACAAGTTTCACTTAGGTAATGTCACTCAAATGCCTGCAAACGGGCTGCTCCTTAATGCTGATGGTGTTAGTGGGCATACCAGTCCTTGCGATCGATCAGGTTCACACACGGAATACCTACTGCCAATCTCCCAAGGGAAACAAAAGCGTGTATCCGATGGAAGTAATCAAGAGGCAAGGACGTCTTCAGTAACATCAAGCAGAGAACATTCATTGGTTAAAGAGCCGCAATGCACGATGCGTCCCAGTATGTCCATCAGCACGGATAGGTCGATTCGCACAGTGCCAGAGAACACTCAAGCGCTTCGCTGTCTGGCCTCCCACATTGAATGGGACACAGAATTCTGTTCATATCCTCACGATATATTGCCACCATTTCAGATGTCGCCACAACCAATGTATCAGATTACAAAACCTCACCCTGCGGTGGACGATTTAATGTTGGGTGTGAATTCCAGTCAGTTTGGAGACGGATCAGCAGCCACGACAGAAAGCTTTCTGTCCCATTCTTCCAAAGTGCTAATCAGTGATTCGGCAACCGCCACTCCTTACGCAACCACTTCTTTAATTTCACAAAACCAAATTTTGACGCCTTCTGCCTATCAAAGTCAGCATACTACTTATCCCAAATGCATGAACACTGTTTCACAGGCTTCCGAAACCAGAGGAACTGTAGTCAATCGGTGCCAGTCTTCAAGTTCCTCTGGTCAAACATCATATGCATCCAGCTGTGATAATAGTGAGTCACTCATGGATAGTATGCCGACAATGAATGAATTGGCACAAACGGTCAATAATCGATACACCAAACTCCCGAGACCGTATGATTATGACACCACGGATTCTAACGACCCTCAATTGCAGACGCATTGGAGTGCAGTCACGGTGGCTCAATCCAAACAAAAGTCGGAAATCGGCAAGATGAGAGAATCTCCTCACGTCTCGACAGTGCTGCCACCTAGATCGATAAGAGCCAGAAAGCCCAAATGTCAAACGAACGGAGTGTCCGAGAAGCTTAGAAATTCGCGCAGCAGTTCTGTTACAAAGAACAGAAGTCAGTCTGTTGAGCGAGTCACTGAAAATGAGTCGAACGGTGTCACTGGAAAGCGTTATTTTGAAACCAGTGACCTTCCACCACCCCCAGTTGATGGACCGCCACCTGTGAAGGCTATTATCATGGAACATGATCCATTGGACCAACAAAGATGTGCGGAGATTCACGTTAGATCCCGTAACAGATATTCATTCATGGAAACGCCAATACCTTCGGACACAGTCACTATCCCTTCTGGGTTGAACACTCAGCCACTCGAAGCCAGAGGTTTACCCAGCTCTTCACTACCTGTTCTTCAATACCTTACTAAACAAGAATATCAATAAATAAGTATTTGAATTCAAAATGACCCCTTTATACCATAACCAATCGAAATTCGTATCCCCTTAGGAAGTATGACTTTCGAACTTGATGTTTTTGCATCGTTCAGGAACAGTGATGCTCTGAAGGTGACCTCATTTGCATCGAATCTCTGCCTAGCTTCTTTCTTTATCAAAGCATATCGGAATTCAAAGTGTTCTACAAATATGGATGCATAAAAAATTCTCCATGATAATGTTTTCTATAGTTTAAAATTTTTTTTCAGTGGTAATTTGTAAATGATTTGTTGATAAATGGTTTGAAATCATGCATCCCAATTTTACTAGGTCTTCGGGTTGATAAAATTTGAGAACTTGTCGCTGCTTGATAGGTTCCAAGACACTCCATGTGAAGCCCCAATGTCCAAGTCGTACAGGCAATTTGTCACTTGTGTGTCAAAATCCAAACTTCCGTGAACTTCTGGACAGGTATTAATACCAGTTTTTGATATGTATATATATATATATATATATATAATGGACAGAAAGACAACTGATCTCAAGAGGCCACTGGCGAACTACGAATAATTCTACCACATTCCTGTGGGTTGCGACTTATGGGCTAGCAGTGCTCGGTCTGCTGCATCGGTCCAAATTAATCATCAAACAAGCTCCTTGCAACGGTTGATTAGATTGGTCAAGTCAGTAAGGAGGTTAGCTGCCATCACAAAAGTGTTGTAATGGTCATTCGTTGTCAACGTAATCTCCACAACGCTGGATAATTCACCCTATTTCTCTACTGACTGTCTTCTACGATGAGAATCAAAACAAAGACGATAGCGGACGCAGACATTTAGCCGAGATATGAACGAGACAAGTGTTGTCTAGGACCGTAATAGTGAGTACGAGAAATGAGATACACTGACTTTTGATTAGGTGCCTGTTGCTAAGTTCCCCAACTTGGACAATGGTATTCAGTGGTTTGTTCGCAATTCAAGGAGAAGTCAGTGATGAGCGCACATATGAAAGGCACGACGAAGGGTGTGAAAACGTCCAAAAGCAGCATCGGGGACCGACGAACGGGTTAACCGTCACGTGATCGATGACCGGCAGATGCACCCAGACTACGAAACTCCGGACTCAATTCCAGACGAGATACAGTGGCATATCAGGGAGTTGTGTATCCATAGCCTATATGAAATTAAGTTACGACTGAAGGGGTTAAGAAAAAAGCAAAGCGGTTTACTTTGAACTGAGTATGCGCCGAGATCGAACTAAATCCTTTTGCACCCAGAGTTGGTCCGCCCTAGCCTTATCAGTGCAAGATGTAAGTCGTTCAATGGCGCTAGTTTTATGTTTTGTAATTATTTGTCCCTCAGTAACACCGGGGAGATTAATGAGTTAATCAGTTGTGCCATTACTCAGCATTAAGAAAGATGGTTGATAAAGCTCAAAACTACATCTCTCAACTGGTTGAGAAGCTCGGAACTTTGCACCTCCAAGCTGATAAGTTTATGTCTAGTTTGCTAAATTTATTACCAATTAGACTTACTATCAGCCGAGAATATTAGATTTCCGGTTTATTGACTTATGTAAATGGAGTAAAGATTTTTTGGGGATAGCGACATTCGACGTACGACTGCACACCTACCGAATCGGGCTTTATCTGTTCAGGACGAAACTCGGGAACCAATCAGAAACTGGCACTTGGAACGCCGATGGAGCAGTAGGAATTCCACAGTAAAACTGACGAAATCAGGAACCTTTCTGCTCAAGCAACCGTAGGTGGACACAGGAAAGCCGCGAAGAATGATCAGTGTTATGAAGTTAAAGAGAAAACAATAATATTTGTAATGTACTACTAATAGGTTTGCTGAAAATCCGTCCACAGCCCACAACCAGTTTTGTCCTTTTTGGGGCTCATCAGGTAGGCCCAGTCCCCGGGTTTCCGTCAACCTTGTGTTCTACTTGAAACCAAATTGCACGAAATTAGCGAATATACACTCGTTTGCAAAATAATCTGTTTTTTTTTTCAAATTGGTTTGCAAGTGAGTGTATATTCGCTAGAATACAAGAAGTTTAGATTGTAAGTATCCGCAACGAATAGTCCACTGAGCCGAAAATTTCTTTTGCGCCACCAGCTTCCATCAATTCCCAATCACCACTTGCCCCTACTGAAGGTTGAATGAGTTCGCTCCGAACGAAGAACTAACATTTGCAAGAAAACCGCGAAGCTCAGGAAACAAACGAACAGTCAGTCAGGCGTAGCTTAGTTACAACAGTGCACCAAGTTTAATTAATTCCTGACAATGAATGCGAAGTGAACCGTGCCAAACACACGATTAGACTAGTGCAGTCGTTGAAAGACTGCCTCGGAAAGTGGTTCTCTGGAAGCCTATAGCGCAAGGTAAGAGAAAACTTGTTAGATAAAGATGTTGATATATTATTTAAGACGATATGAACTTTGGATTGTAAACGGGTATCAGTGTGTTTCCGAGGCAGGATACGCACCTAAACGATCATTTTCGCCAAAACAAGTGAGCGGAAAGTTTGTAACGACGGAAGAGATACATGAGTATGCAGATAGCTTGTTGCATTTTACATCTGTTTTTTCTTGAAATAATGCCTCTTGATGCCTGGACAATGTGGCGTTCAGGGACTGGGGCGGGCATCTTTCTTCCATCTGGTAAAATGGAGTGCCAAATGAACGGAGTTAAAAGACCCAAGGAGGTGCATCGCTGTCACGCTGGATTTGCAAATGACTAAAGTATCGTCCATATAACGTCCATAAAAGGTCACAAATGTTACAAAATAGTGTGCTCAATCTCACTCATAAAATCTGCTGGCGTCAGACGGACCGGATAGCCTGACTCGGTGGGTACTGACGCTGAACATAGATATCTTCATGAACACCGTAAAGGTCAGTCTGTGGACTCAAGAAGCGAAATCGGCAGACGAATAATCGAGCTACTGAGAAGTCTCCATCTTCACTCGGTTGTTTTAAAAAAATGCAAAGTGTTGAACAGCAATCTTATTCACCTGCCTGCTTTGGACTAACTGCAGGAACTGAAAGTTTTCTGCCTTCGTGGGGTTTGAAAAGTTCTTTCATCCGGCGATCGATGGCATGATGTGGCGATTCTTATTTATGTATTTTCGGCAGTCAGAGAAAGAGGGGGAATATATACCAAGATTCATGGAAGTCTCAGTTTGATGAGCTAGTCGGAAAAGTCCCTGGTACACGTATCACAGAAATGTATGAGAGTTAAACTGACCAAAACACAACCCCGAAGAACGCTTTGGATTAAGTGATGATCACAGAAAAATGAACCCGAAGGCCTAAGGAAAGGTTCAAGCAATCTCTATGGACGTTACGAAAGTCTTCAAATCTTTCAACCGAGAGGTTACATGAACTGTTCTTTCAAAATATATTTTTCTACCGAACTTGGTCAAGTCTATCCGAAACCAGCAGGATAGAATAAGAGGGAAAATGCCAAACAATGGAATTCGAATTCAAAATCCTCAGAGGTTATACGCCCTGTTTTTATCTTCATCAGGCTCTATTCAATGGCTAAGTGAACACGGACTGGAAGCACATGGTATGCACACTTAACCGTCGACGTTAAATTGAACTGGACTGACTTTTGGAAAAGTTGAGAAACGAGCATGGAGGGTACGAAACCAGCTTGCACATCTACATGTCGATGGGTTTACTCATCTTCTTGTGATGCAATGAGACATTAAACAGATAACAGGACGACTCCTGATAGTTGAGCAGACTCTGCCGGCGGCGGTCAGTTGGTGTTCACTGGGCTAAACTAATGCCGGATAGAGAGACTCTCTGGCGAACGCGTTGTGATAGAATGCATGCAATGATTACACAGTGATTAGCACCGGATGGATTACCGGACGGACGGGACTAGTTTCTAGATTGTTCGCTGGATACAGAGAAACGGAAATTTGGTATAAAAACAGCCAAGATATATGGGCATTTTGGTTGCAATTCCAAAAGGCGCTGACGTCGATGTCATGAAGCGGGAAGTAGATGCACTAAACAAGACAAACGATACGAACTGGTGTTCCTCGGTCCAGTAATATTCAACTTATAGCCAGAACACCGATACCTTCAGAGTTACCTTAGTTGTTGAAAAACGCATCCGCAACCACCGTCATCGTTGCTCCGCTGGTCGACCACCAACAAGGAGGTTCGTTAGAAGAAATATACTTCATTTACCTTTGCCTTCTGGGACTGTCACAGCTAGACATCTGACGGTGCCGGAAACGACGTTCTGCGGCCAGCGCCATACAGGATGAAACTCACCAAAATGATCTAGCACACTGGGTAGTTAGGTGTAGCAAGCCTGTGCTGGCTCTATAAGCGACGTTCAATGTCCCAATCGTTTGGCGGAATATCCGCTAGGTACAGTGGGCTAGCATTAGCTATATGTGCGTGTCCAGGAAATATCTACTGAGTGGTGCGGACCCAGGTTACTTCAGGTGTGTACTAAAATTTTCAGTTCTTCAGTGGTATCATCTTTAAGTAACAATTATGGACCACTGGTCAAGCGTTCTGAAGGCCTCAGAAGTGAACCCACCTGTTCATCCAGAGTACTTGTTCCTTCCCCTTTAAACGGGTTACAAGACGATCCGATGAATGCACGGGCGGCTCGGCACAAACTGGAAATGTCACTGCCCCTGTGCACGGCCATCCGTCGGTCCGCTTAGACGTGACAGGTCAATCCGAAAACGGATGCCCGCACATCATTCACAACGAATGTATAAGGCAGTTTGAATATTTGTTTTTGGCTTTTGTGAAAAGGTGGAATAAAACAAACGTCAGGTCCAGGGTGTAATTTACGCGGACGTGTAGTACAGGTCTCTCTAAGACGCAGAGGTATACGGGATACTGGATCTCTCTCAACAGACACCAACCTCTGGAGAGATCACAGTGAGTATTCCATGCCTAAGCGATAAGCAAAGCTAGTTTTTGAAACGGGTCCCTAGAACTATTAGAACAAATAACTAAAGGG